AGGAATGTGTTGTTAATTTTTTTAAAGACTAATTTTGCATTAAAAGAATATAGCTCATCCCATGAAACCCCAGAGAACTCAAGGATAACGACAGAAATAAGAAAAAATGCTCCCTAAAGGCATGGGATGTGCACCACAGTAAGCAAAAAGAATCCTCAACAGTGTCTTTGATAGTCTTCAATCAAACTCCAGTAATAAACTATGATCTTGAATGGGATAATGGCACCATACTGCCCAGTGCCTTCTAAAATTAAAAGACAAACTTCATCTGCTTTTGGTGAACTAGAGTGAGAAATGACACTTATTACTCATAAATTTTAGCTCAATCCTAATTTTTTATTATTATTGACTTATGCCAGTACAGAAGGATATTTTTAGGCAGGGGAAGAAGAAATCATCATCAAGATCACAAGGACAGGTAGATGACAATAAGCAAAACCAACTTCATAATCATTATTTCTCAGTGAAAGAATTATCTTCAAGATAAATTCCACTATCACTTTCAGTGGATACTCCAGCTTGTGGCCCAACATAGACCATATGGGGACAGCAACCTATTATTGAAGAGTGAAAATTTAGGAATCAGTGGATGACCAAGAGAGACCTCAATACTTGTAATTTTTTAAGTCTAGTTTACTCAGGAAAAAAGTCTCAATCTCAAAAATAATCTTGTATTATTACATGCATAGCTATTTTATTAAACTATTGTTCAATTCTACATTATGAAATATATTCCAAGTGAGTAGAAAGCTAACAGAACAGTGGAGCATCAGGAAGTTTGAAACAACCACTCCAAGAATTCTGTAGCACTTTATTTGAACTAAATGCTAATCCATGAGTTTAAGGTCAGTGAAAAGGGAAATGACAAGAGGGAAAGTGCAAGGAGTACAACTGCTGAGGAAACTACCCCAACCACTTAGTGAATGGGTTACTAACAGCACAGCACTACAGTGCATACTGCCACTTTCCACACACTCTAAGATACTCCTTAAACATGCAGCGAGCAAACTTAGAGGAGGAAAGCTGTCGTCAAGAGCACTACAATAGCGGACTCGTAGCCTCTGCTTCGCTTGTTAGAACGAAATCTCGTCTCGCAGGCCCAGGAGCACCGAGACTTTATCATTAGAGGGGCAGCCCTAGAGAGCATTCAGACGAGCAACCGATTTCTGAGAGGGCCACCTTTCACTTCCTGGTCGCGCGAGCCGACCCAGAACAGGGAGGGCAGCAACACTGGGGCACCCCGGGGGATGTCCCCGCGTGGTTGGATAGGGGCGGCCGCGAGGCTTTCGCACCGCAGCACGCGACCTCCTTCCTAGACCGGCTCGAGACCAGCACAGTTCGTGGGGGCCCAGAAGGCTTCGCTTCAGCCTCTCGCAGTTTCTTTCACACACCTGACAGGATGGAGGCGGGGGAGGAGGAGGGAGGGGGCGGCTGTTGGCGCACACAGAAACTCGGTGCAGCGGCTGCACGTACCTGCTGCCTCCCTTCCCGGTGACGGGGGGAGGGGCGGAGCGAGGACTTGTTACCGGGAGACGCGTCGCCGTCGCTCGCCTCACTGTTTTGTTATGGTTTGTCCCGCCCTCACTCACTCGCCCCCTCCTCCTCCTTTCTCTCAGACCAGAGACGCGGCGAATTTCGAGTTCCACTTCCGGGCCCGGGAAGGTGACGTCACGCCGCGCAGTCGAACTAAGAGGTCTGCTTTCCTCGCCTCTTGTTCTCTGAGCAATCGCGGCCTCTCCTGACGGGAGAGCGAGAGGGATGGCGGGGAGCCGTGCGCGAAGTTCCGCCGCTGGGTGTGGGGGGGCGTGGTCGTTTCTGTGGAGCTTGCGTGGTAGCCGTGCTTGAAGCCGTCGCTGGTCCGTAGTTGTTGAGAGAATTTCCCCATCTCTCGCTCCTTGGTAACGATCCTCCAAAAGGATTTGCGGAGGCAGAGAAGATGGTCTTCTAGACGATGGGGAGGTGGTTCAGTCGATTCTGACTGCGATCCTGTTGATTTCTGTAAAACAATGTGGGATCTACTCACGATTAAGCACGCTTAGAATCGTTGGAGGGAAAACAGGAGCGGAGCGGATTAAATGCTTCGCGACCGGCCAGATTGAACATACTCAGTGGCTCCGGTGCTGGAGTGCATTTTAGACAAGGATTTTTAAAGGGGAAAAGGACAGTAAGCAAAGAGGCTTCCAGAATGGTGGGGTAATTCATCGGTGGAAGAAACAGCCTTGCTAGTGACCAGTGGGCTGTGACTTTATCGGAAACTCTCCAAGTGCAGTGGGTATGGAAGAAGAGGAGTGACTTGCCCATTAGTAGCAGTGTCACAGGCATTAGCTAACAGGCGTACGTGTAAAGCTTCTCAAATATATCACACACGGCAGTTCATACTACTTACTAGCTGATGGGAAGGGGTAATCAGTCAATCAATCAAAATATTGTGCTTTATTGGCGTGAAAATGCTGTTTCCCTGCAAAAGATATTCTGGTTGAGAAGAAAATATGTGGATCTTTAACAACTGAGTGACAACTGCACATTCCTCATGCAATAAAGCAAAGTGCTTTTAGGCATCAGAGGAATGGTTTTACCCTACTCCACCGCAATGGTGCAGAGGTTCATAGTCAAAGGCTAAAACTCCATTACCATCAGCTTTTGATTATAGGGAATTAAACCATTTAAGTGGCATTCTTCCACACCACTGAAGTGCCAAGATCTGGGGGAGGAATACCTCCCTTCATTAGGTCAGCCTCTGCTCCTGTCTGCTGCAGGAGAGGAGTGTTTTCTGCTTGCTTCAATTCATTGGGAACTGTGGACAGAGATACTTTCCCTCAAAGTTTATAGCAGTTTATGGTGCAATCCTACATAGAGTAAGTCCAAAATTACTTCAATGGGCTTAGACTGGAGTAGCCATGCCTAGGATTACACCATGAGTCACTTTAGATGAGAAAATTGGTGGGTTGGTTCATTGTGTCCCTTCCTGTACTGGCAAGCCAGGTGACAAAACTATTGTTCGGGGCTGTGTGACCTGCTTGGAACTTCCTGCCAAAGTATGGGTGGGTCTCCAGCACTGTAATTCTCCAGCATGTTAAGTTCCAGTGATTGTTAATTGATTCCAGACTTCATATGAGAGTTGGGAAAGTATTTAATATAAATCATTTACACACAACACACTTGGAGTGAATCTTTTGAGAGTGGTCTATACCTATTATGATTATTGATCTGCACAAAGTTGGATCACCTCTCTCTAGGATTTTTGAATAGTAGTGCCTGAAAATGTAGTTTTAGCATACTACATTCATAATTTTTTCCCTGCTGCCTTGCCATGAGTGAAACAGTACATGACAACATTCATAGAATTTATTTTGAAAGAAGATAATGTTTCCTTACAGTTCCGGGGGGGGGGGGCTTCCCTCTAGGCTATCTACCCCTAACTGGTCCAAGTACGCTGTGGGGTTTATTTATTTTATTTTATTAAACTTATGAATCACCCACCCTGCAGGGCAGGCTCTGGGTGATTTACAACACTGTAAAGAGTTAAAAATACAGTTGATATATAATTAAAATCACAAATAGTAAACATGACATTAGAACCAATCAGGGTGGTGATAAATAATCCTGAGCTGGCCTTGGCTGGGAGGGCGGGGTAGAAATCCAATGAACAAACAAACATTGCTGGCCACACTGCTATCCCGCAGGGCAGGGTATGTGTGGGCCACAGTGGAAGAAAAGAGAGGAAGGGTGCCACTCTCAACCTCCCATTGCTGCCCTCAACTAAAAGCCTGGTGGAACATCTTATAGGCCCTTCAGAATTGCATCAGATCCTGCAGGGCCCTGATGTTATTTGGCAGAGAGTTCCACCAGGTCGGGGCCTCTTTTGTTAACAATTCTTTCCTTGTTCGCTATTGCCACCAGCCCTTAATTAGACAAAAATATTTTTCCCGATAAGAAATTCTTAAGGATAGTGTTTTCTCCTATCTGGTGGATAGAATTCTCTACCTGTGAACTTTTGATACTGCTGTATTAATCAAGGAAACGCTAGTCAATACATGAAGTTTCTGTTTCCTATACCTGACCACCTATGCTCAAGGCAAGAAACAATGATGTGTATTATTTCTTCAGATGTCCCTGTTAAAATGCTTTTAAAACATATCTTATGGGCTTTGTTGCACCCGACTCACTAAGGTATCCATGCAACTGAGGTAACACCATTTAAGAGACAACATTTTACCCCTTGCTGTCCACAACATGTTAGAGCATTTTTTACAAGAAGCATTTCCAAAATGTTACATGTTGGATACCTTTTCAATTAGGAACTCATGCAGGGAGCAGGATTAGTCATCCCACATGGAGAGAACAAAAAAGCCCTCTGCTTCTCTCCTTGCCTGATCCTCTGTAGGTGACACAGAAGTAGCTTTGAGAACATGGGCACCAAATTGCCTTATAATACACAGAGGCACCATTTTTAAAAAAGACAAATTGCTGCTGAGATGACCTCTTCTGTTTGTTTTCTTGCATTATTATTTGTTTTCCATTTCTTGATATTTAGGCTATTTAGCCACACTGGAATCCAGCTTCTGTCTCTTCTCTATCCCTCTTCCTGCCTTGACTAACTGCCCCTCTTCCCATCTCCAAGAGTTGGCTCATCCATCCAGTCCAACCTTGAAAGGCAGTCCAGAAGGATACTGTGACTGATGTTATCAAAAGCCACCAAGAGGTCCAAGAGAATGAAGACGGTCAAGTTGCCCTGTCCATTTCCCAGCACAGGTCATCCACCAGGGTGACCAAGGCCATTTCAGTCCCATAACTAATGGATCCAAACAGTCTGCTTCATTCAGGAATTCCTGGAGTTGCTGAGCCACCACTTGTTAAACCACCTTGCTTAAGAATGGTACATTTGAGACTGGATGGCATTAAACTTCTCAGCAACTCTTGACTCTCTGGATGACTCTTCTTGTATGTTATTTGCAATATCTTATTGGGAGTGTTGAGTTTGGCTCACCACTGATTTTATTTCTTTGTACCTGAATAGTCTCAGAGGGTGGCTATTCCAGATGGTATCTTAAATGCAGTGGACTGCAGTGTTCCACAGGGATCCAGCATTAGTGTCGACCTTACTTAGCATCTGTTCAGTGCTGCTGATGGAAATCAATCAGTTTTTAGAGGAAGGTATCATCAATATGCTGATAACACCAAATTCTAAAGTTCTGTTACCAAACATCTAGGAACTGTTACCTCTGACCTGAACCTGGAAGTTGTGGTTGGTTGGATGAGGCAGAAGAGATTGAAAATGAATCCCAGTAAATATGTGATGCTTGTGAAAAGCCTTTTTTTCTAAAGAACAGGTGAGGCCCAGTAGGTATGAGACTGAGCTACAGATCAAAAACTCCCTGGCATGGACTTCTGGTGGGTGGATCGGCGATGGCAGTCGCTCTTCTCGATGTCCGAGGCCAGGGGGCTCTTGAGGGTTACCCTCTTCGAAGGCTAGATGCCGGAGAATAGAGGCTTCCCTCCACCCCAATGGTCCAGCCAATGGGTGACCTTAGGGTACACCACATACACTATCTACTTGCAGTCCTTACAACAACTGTATAAGAAAGATCAGTGTTATTATAATACCCCATGTTGCAGATGATGGGCTGGCTGAGACACTGACTTACCTTAAGTCATACAGTGAATGGAAAACAAATAACCATGCCAGGGAGTTGTTGTTGTTTTTTTGAAACCCCCGAGAGGGTATTTCTATTATTTTTCATAAGACTATTAACTACAACGAAAAATAAAGGAAAGGGAACTACATCTAAGGATAAAGGAAAGATACCCACACTAACTAAAAACCCAAGAGTAGGAGATCCTTTCCATGTTAATCTAAATGTTAATGAGACAAGTGTTAGTGATACAATATGCTTGTGAAGTTCTTGTTTAACACATCTTCTATATTAGTAAGTTAATCTTTGTGAGAGTACTTCTTGGGCATCTTCTTTACTTCAAAGAGCAATTTACAGAGTCCTTCTGCCCTTACTTCGGTTTTCTATCCCTAAAGTCATACACAGTTTTCGTTGCTCCTGCTCCCCCCACAGAGTCCTCGTCCATTCCCAGAGTATCCCCCAATAAAACTAAAGTTTAAAGGGACAATTCAGAGTCCTTCAGCCTTCATTTTGTCTTATCTTTTCTAATCCTCAATTTATATATACGCTTGAGGGCATCCGCCCCCTTATCAGAAAGAGAGTCCTCGTCGGAAGACACCGAGTCCAATTCGCCACTGGATTTGCTGTCATCTTCCTTCTCGACCTTGGCTGGCTCTCCCAGCTGCACTCTCAGAAACTCACATGCTTTGGAAACAGAGTCAATCTTTTCTTTTTTATCTTGTAGTTTGAAAATGACTCCTCCTGGAATTAACCACCTGTAGACAAGGCTGTTTGTTTGAAGAAAAAGGATTAAATCTTTATATTTCTTTCTTTTTTGTCTTATTTCAAATGGAATGTCTTTTAGAATCCTGATGGTGTTGTCCCCGATTTTCAAAGGTGTTCCTGTAGTTGCTTTCAGGATAGAATCCCTCACATGTCGCTTTGAGAATCTAGCCACTATTTCCCCAGGCAGATTAGTCTTTTTGATGTACAGGGTGCTTTAAAAGTTGTGATTCTTCCGAGGCTTGTTTCTTTTCCAGCTTTTGCACCTTTTTCTTGACTTTTTTGGCATTGGCGTCCATTTCCTTCACCTTCTCAGCTGTTTGCTCCG